AGCAAGGCATCCAATTCAACACAAAAGGCCATTGCTCCTGCTTTTGCCAACTTTGTCATGTGGCTAATTATCATGATAGCTGCTAACCATGGACTCAGGCAGTAGTAATGAAACACCACGCTATAATTCAGTTTCTGTCTTTTAAACTATTGAACAAAATACTATGTATTGTCATATACAGGAAAGAAAAACCTGCTCATTACAAATACTGCAAGTGATTATTAAAATTGAAGCACATTTTAAGCATTGATTATTTAAAATTTAATTAATTTGCTACTGCTCTGCTGATTAAACTGAATATAGTAGTTTCATATAAGCAAACTATTTGGAAAGCCAGTATTATAATTTTCATGATTAAATATTTTCCCTGGAGCTCTCCACAGTTTTACTCTGCAAACACGTTTTCAATAATAACTTTTATGTGTATATGATTAGTAAAGCATCAGATTTTTATCTTAGAACCTGCAGTTCAAACATGGTCACTCCCCCAAAGAATGGTTATGGTGATGAATTATGTGTTTTATTTATTACAGCATAATTCTCTAAGTTCTGTGTTATCATTGTTTGTTTTTGTCTTTTTTACTATTTTAAAAATTCCATTAGTATGTTTGCATTATGTAACGACTACACTGTGGGGAGTTAGTGCCTGCGAATGGCATACCTTAATGCTTTTTACTTCCATGTTCTTACAAATTGTTATTTTTCATGACATTTTGTCTTGTCTACACATATTTATTGGTGTACATTATTATAGTTGTGGTTTGGCTGTACAATGGCACTGCTGAACACTGCAGAGAAGTAACACACAAAAAGGAATAACAGCAATTGCTCTTACAGATGCAAACTCAAGGAATCGAGCACCTGAGTTAATAGTTCTGATAGATAAACAAGAAATAATGCAAGGTGGACATTTTAAAACCTATATTATGTGTAGTTTAAAATACTGTGAAAACTAAATGAGATTATATATGGTGCAAAGTTTATTTTTATGTACATAAGTACTGTCCAACATCTGCTGTCATAAATCATTAGTCATAAATCAGTAGTCAAGAAGAGACATGCTCCCTTCCCCCTTAGGATTTGTATTTTGAATAACGTCCTCCATCATTACACATAAAAAGATTGATGATTGGCAGTTGAACCCAGCCCCGTGCATTGGCTCCCATGGGCATTTCTTTCCCGTGTGATGTGTGCCCTACATTTTATTCAATGGAATTAAAAGTGCTCTGACAAATCTGTGTGTCAAGACCATAACAAAGAATCAGTAGAATCACATGTAGAAGTTTTCAAAGATCTTAAAAGTAGGGATAATGAGACAGTTTCTAACATGCAACATTCCATTGCAGCTGTGTTTCCAATAATTTTCTGAATGCATTTAAACAAGCTTTGTATAAGCTTTTCATAAAACACAATATTTCTGACTAACAACCAAGTGGATTTATTGAAATTGTACTAGGATTATTCAGCAGTTGAAAAACATTTTGATTCATTGTATTTTAGGGATTAACAATGGAGGAAGAGGTAGGAGAGACCTAGGAAGATATTAGCAAGTCAGTCATATTTCATTGGGAAGATTTTCATTCATCAGCCTTTAAACAGTCTGCTCAGGTTTGATTAGTTGCTCATTTAGTCACTTAAACTCTCATGCCCAGTAAGCTGGCCCAACAGTGTTGGTCTTGTTTAAATTCCTGTGTAGGAAAATTACTGTTCCCCAACTACGATCTCTTAAAACCACTTTGGTTGTCACAGGGTGAAGGAAGTAAAAGAGGAGGGTGTGTGTCTGGGTGCCCAGAGGGGTCATAGGAGAGAAAAGAAAGGGGATTGTTGTGCAAGGGACTGACTTTTCTGATGGAGTGTGTGCAAAGACATCTGAAAAGAAGAAATTTGGAGAAGATGCAGGGCAGGTCCATGTGGAATCTCCAGGGTACACAGATAGAAGGGCTCAGTGCCAATGCCCACTGCCTGGCACATGGAGGGTCAGGATTCTGTGAAGGAGCCCTCAGCACTATTAGCAGTATTTCAAGCAGCTGAGGGGAGGCTAGAGAGGCGCAGGGAGAGGCAGGAGGGGCCTATTCTGGCAGCTGTGATGTCCAAGAATTTTTTTTGTCTAAAAAACCACTAAATACAAGTGTTTGTTTAGCTTTTATTTTATTTTACCTTTCACTATTTATTTTTTAAAGAGAATACAAAATAGTGAAAAACAACAGAAAAAAATCCCACTAGAATTTACACAAAATTTCACTAAACAAAATAATAATTTAGCAATGGTTGCTATATTGCATAATTTTACCTTCAATTTAGTTGTTCACATTACCAGATATAAATATGTAAAATAGGTAAAAAAATTGTAAGAAATTAAAAAGGAGAACAAGGCAGGTGAGATAGTTCAGTGGACTAAGTGCATGCTTAGGCAAGCACAGGGACCAGGTTCGACATGCTGTGCTGGTCCTGCCCCTGGGCATGCTGGGTCAGCTACTGAATACAGGCATGGTACTCCACGACTGTAATCCCAGCCCTGGGGAGGCTGAAAACAGGAGGATCACTGAGTCCAAGCTTCGTAATGAGATCTTGCACTAAATACATTTTTTTTCTCCATAATTTTATTGAGAAACAAATATCAATGAGACTTTCAAATCAAATTGATAGGACAGTTTCAATGATTAACACATTGCATACTCTCTTCCTAGTGGTTATTTGCTATACAAGATGCAGACATTATATCCTATTTACAAACACTATTAGAACAAATCCCTCTATTCATTAAGAGAATGTAACTATGTATCTATCCTAACCATTTTGAATACACAGATACAAAATGGACATTCAACTGTATCCTCTTTTTTTGTTGTGGGACTATCCTGCTAAAGGTTGTATATGGTTAGATTTCTGGACTTACGTGTAAACATAAGAATTATATAATTTTTTATGCCTATTTTTAAATATATTTTAATTTTTAAATGTTTTTTCATCATATTCTGTAGGGACTTAAGTTTAAAATATCAATGCTTGATGAAAAATACCTGTTCCATGTTATGCCTAAGATGGTTGATATTCAGACAGATAGTGAGGTTAAGCTTAACAGCCTAGGTTGTATGGTAATAACAATAAGCTTGTCTTCTGGAGGGTTAACAACCTAAGTTTGCAGACCAAAAATTAGAGAAAAAGGAAGGCTGCAAGGAAAGCCAACGTTTTGGCCCTAGCCTTCCAAAGTCAATTAAGACTCAGGACATATGAGAACTTGTATTGTAATGACATGTAACTCAGTTGTGACCCAAATTTTCTGATCAAGAAGATTATGGGGCGAAAGAAGAAAGTGATCGATGATATAGAGTGTGTCTAAGGAGAGTCACATGGAAAGAAAACATTCTCTCAGCCTTTCACAGAGAGCACATTGGCCAAGCAATGACCGTGACTCATCCACATGGCTGACACTTGACAAAGGATCTACAATCTGAGGTACAGGATCTCAGGATAAATCCTGAGGGGATTTCACTGACCTTATCAGACCCAAAAGCTACAACTCTTGTTGCATAGGTCTTGCTTTATCTTGGTCTTAACCATCCAGCAGAAAAGTATAAAAACGAAGTATAAGAAGTAAAGCCATGGTGTTATATTGAGCTGTAGGGGACTCAGGTCAACAATTTCTGACATTGCCAGTCAAGTGGAAGACCCAATACCATTATGAACTACTGGACTCTTTTGGAATGTTTTGCTGAGTTCACACACCTATAATATTCAAATGACAGAGCTAAACAAATACATTTTTAAAAAGGTAAACTTCATGCATTTTTAGGAAAATGGATGTGACTTGGGACTATAATGTTGAGAGAAAGAAATCAAACATGCCAGATTATCACATGGTTTTTCTTATATGAGAAACCCAGAGTAAAAACAAAGGGCAGAAAAAAGGTAGGTAATAGGAAGTGGGGAAATAGATTGTTCTGGAAAGGAAAGGGGATCAAGAGATGGGGGAAGAGGGAAGGATGGGTTGGGATGAAAAAAGAAACGAAGATGTATTATGTACAGGTACCAGCTTCCCCCAAGGAAGTATGTACTACACACATGTACTAATAAACTGAAATTTAATAAATAAATGATAAAAAGAAGAAAGTAAATTCAAGCATTAACTGCTCCTTTCAATAGACCAGCAGAAATCAGCAGTACAATTATCCAAGCTATCCAGTATATATACATAAATATACCTTTTGTCCTTTCTTTTGTTCTTTTCTTCATCCCAGTCTTTCCCTTTGAACATAGTCTTTTCCTTTAGCAGTACCTATTGTACCTTTCAGGTCTTAGTTATTCTTTTAGGTTCTTATACTAGGGAGACAACACAATGTCTGCATATGTGGATTTGGTTTATTTCACTTTACCAGCATGATCTCTATTTGCATCCATTTACCTATAAAAGTCTCGAGTTTATCTTTCTTTATAACTGAGTAATACTCCATTGTGTAAAAATACTACATCTTTTTTTATCCATTTCCGCAGTTCATGGGCATTTGGGTTATTTCCAAGATTTGGCTATGACAAATTGTGCTGCTATAAACATGGATGCACATAAGTCACTATGGTATAATGTTTTCAGTTCATTTAGAAAAATACCTATAAGGGGAATATTTGGCTTGAATGGGACTTCTAATCCTAGCTATTTTATCTTGCTTCATGTTATTCTGTTGAATCTCATGCCCTTAAACTACCTCCTCTTTGAAGGATAATTCAGTAGCCACAGTAGTAAATTGGGGGTAGGTCTTTTTCAGAGCATTTTAATCTTCTGGATTTGGAAAGTGTTTATTTAGGTCCTTTGGATAAAACTCAAATTTCTGGCCATATGGATCATCTCATTGAATGCTAAACATGAATAATTCATATTACTTAGGAAATGATTGAACCTATTAGAGTTCACTTCGATTCACAAATTTGTTTTCTTCTCCCTCTCCCTCTCCACCTGCTTCTCCCTCTCCCTCTCCCTTTCCTTCTCTCCCCCCCCAACCTGTTAGGTTCCTGGGCAGATAGATCACCACTACATGAAGCCGCAAGTCAAGGCCGTCTTCTTGCATTGAAAACATTATTATCACAGGTAAATTATTCCATATAGCTTAATATATGCCCCTTCCCATGAACATACAACATCGTCAAAGCAAATCAATTAAAAATAATGTAACAGCTTCAGTTTTACTTTGGTCTTTTCATTTTAACTCACATAAGGCAAGTCAATAATTCTGATTTATGTTTGAAATTCCTTTATAAGTAGTTTTGCATAATTCTATGTCTAAGTATTTCAGATTTCTCACGGTATATTTATTCACTGACACACATCTGTAAGCATATAATAATTTAATTTTTATGTTATTTCTTCAACTTTAAACATGCTTAACTCTTTACACAGCTCATTGCAGGCTTAGTCTAGTCAAGTAATACCCAAAAGGGGGTAACCAGACCTGAGGCCAAAACAATTTATTGTGCATTGTGACGATCCATAACATGCAGTACTAGGCTGAATCACCTCGGAGGTGACAGGGCATTCCTTTCTATACCTACCTGCTCAGCAGACTCAGCAGGGGAAGACTGAGAAATGTACATTCCTTGCTGAGGCAAAAGTATTCTGATGTGGGGCCTGTGCACTTAATTTTTAAGCTCCCAGTTTGATTCAAATGCACACATGCCCTGGATGTCTCCTCACCAATGTCACCTCACTGTATTAAGACGAAGGGAGCTTTCTTGGATGGCTAAGAGACAGAAACGATGAGTCCCTTGGTTTAAACAGCCCTGCCTAGGACCCAGGAGACCAGATCCTTGGTTGGCACTTGAAGGGACCCACAGGCTCTCTGAGCTATATTTTCTCTTTGTAAAATGAGAAGAGATGTTCTCCAGAGCTGCTCAGCTCCGTGACAACCATGTGACTGATGTGTTTTGCTCATTGCTTGATGATGAAGGGGAAGAAACCTATAAAAAGATCAGTAATTCCAAAGGGTAATCCCCAGGAGAGCTCTTTAAGAGCAGAGCAGTCCGAGGGTATTTTTCAGTGTGCATCTCTTATCCTTGGATGCTGGCCAGGAAGAGAGACCTGCCCAAGGGCCTGCTGAGAAAGGGAGTCTCCACTTCTCACAGGTGCTGTTATCTCATCATCTGCTGTGTAGCAGGCTGGGACTGGGGTAGCCTACAAATCTGCCACTGGCCAGCAGCCTGAAATCTCTGCAGGCATAAGTGAAGGATCTTAAAAATTTCCACTCGGTAGTGGCAAAGATTTGGTTTGATTATTTTAGTGTCTTTGTGTTATGATTTTTTCATATTCATTTTGGTATTAGAGATTATTGTAATTTGCAATGTGTCAGGAGGGATTCGGCCTTGAAGTTCTTCCTATTATAATAGTGGTTGGTATGTCAGTAGAAAATCAATCATTAATGACACTGAAGAGGTAAGGAATCTTCTACATTTTAGCTTGATACTGTGAGTTTAAGTGGAATATAATTAAAAGGTTTTTACTTATTTGATTTAATAATGAAATAAAACCCAACATTTTCTATGTGCTGAGCACTGTAATAATAACTTTAGTATGTGTATCATCTCATGTAATTCTTATGATAATCCTAACATTGATAGGCTAAGGAATATGTCCAAATTGCAATGATTATTGCATAACAGATCCACAGCTTTAAACCTAAATATTATTCTATAGTCAGAGTTCTTAGCTCATACAATTTAATCATGTTTATTGAGTGACAGAAATTCATAAAACAATTTACTAAGGTTTATTTTTTCTCCACCCTGGACAGACTTATAATGTTTAGTGCTACAAAACAACAACAAAATAAAGACACACTACCTACAAAAAATTATGAAATCAAAATTTAGAGAACATAGTGGAATTTATTGAACATAATACTTAAAACTTTATTATATTGAAGCAGGTGAGTGCCACAAAATGGGGCTAAAGAGTTATTTTTATTGTTTTATTTGTAGACATTTATGGCCAACAGAGTAAAAATTTCAATATGTATAGACAATGCATAACGATCAAATCAAGATAATTAGATTTTGCATCTTCTTAAGCTTTCCAGAATAATTTCTGATTTCTTTAATAGCTGTCCATATTTAGGGAGTAAAATGTGGTTTTTCAGTACATGTATAAACTATGTACTGACAAAATCCTGCTAATGAATGTTTCTATGTCTTTATCATTAACTTTGGAAATTCTAAAGGAAATGCAATCTGTAAATCAAATGAAGATCTTTCCTCCCATGCTTATTGTAGTACTTTGCACAACAATTAAGATGTGGAATCAACCTCGATGGCCACAAACAGGCTATTGGATTAAAAATAACCTTCCATATGAATATTAAACACCCATAGAAAAGAATGACCACTTGTCTTTTGAAGTAAAATATGTGGAACTGGAGGACAGAATGTTGATAAATCAGACAAAGTAAGACAGATACCACATATCAAAAGGCTTTACAAATTCATCTGTGTGTAGAACAGTAAATGCTAGAGTCTGGGAAGGGTAGAGGAAAGACAAACTAGAAGGTTGTTAGCCAAGAGAGACTAAAACACAGTTAGATAGAAGTAATAAAGCCTAGTGAATTTTATTTACAAAACTCATATGTATCAAGAATTACTAGAAAAGAAGAGTTGAGAAGCTTTAGCAAAAGATGGACTCTGATATTTCCAATGGCCAATCCTGCTAATCTGGAAACTGGTTTGCTTGAGATTCTTTAATCTTCATTCTCTGGTCATACTGTTGGAAATGATGTTGTGTAACATTTTGCTCACCTTTCCAATTTATGCCATGTTTAGGGCTATAATGTGAATGCAGTAACCATAGACCACGTCACCCCATTGCATGAAGCCTGCCTGGGTGGTCATGTAGCGTGTGCCAGAACTCTTCTGGAGGCTGGAGCCAGCGTAAGCATTCTTCTTATATTAACAGTTTCACAACTACTGACTGACAGAATCAGGCAGAGTTTTCCTCAGTAGCATTCAAAAAGATGTAAGGATAGAAATAAAAGCCACTGAATCACCTCAGCCTTCCTTTTAAGCACTGTATAAATATGTAACAAGCTCCTAAAAGGATTTCTAACCATTGTATGAATAGGTAGCATGCTGCACAATAATACATGATGTTCTTTAGGTTATTTTCTGCTTTGATAACTTTAACAATAGGCAAACATCTTTCAGCCTATAATATTTCCTAATTTTTTGATGATTTTCCTGAAGCTCTTTTTCAGAGGTAGAATGACCAATTTTACCAGTTTAAATCATCAGGAGAACAGTGATTTTATTACAATTTTCATCACTATGAGACTGGGCGTGGTGGCGCGTGCCTGTAATCCCAGATCTTGGGAGGCTGAAAACAGAAGGGTTACTAGGAATCCAATCTATGTAGTGAGACCCTGAACATCCTGTACTAAAATATAAATAAATAAGTAAATGTTATAGGCACTCAGACAGGGCTAGGCCCACAAGAAGACAGCACAGAAGACAAGCTACATTTCAACTGTGAGAGAGATGTACACTCCCCACTGTGGGCCAGACCTAAAGACAAAAGAAGAAACTCCCTGACTGATATTATAGCTCAAAAGGTGGCACAAAAACCAGTGGGACCACTGGAGATATTGCCTGTCCTCCCACCCTGAGTTCTAGAAAACACCCACCTACTCAGACTCTGTTGGTAAGTGATGTTCCTGCTGTTTGAGTAGAATAGCAGTGGTGATCCCATCTCAAAATAATTTGATATTACATCACCACAAAGGGACATGAGTGTGTAAGACTCAAAAAAAAATACTGTGATATTTAGTGTTGTTAGAAACCTCTTCTTTGGAGAAATATCAGAACAATATATGAAACAATTTGGGGTGTAATGTTGCCAAAGGAAAAATTGGCTCTAGATGGATTTTTCAAATGGAAAATTGGGAACTATTCTCAATATCCCCTTGTATAAATGACCTGATATCTGCCTCAACTGGACCTGTTCTCTTGTTTCTCTTGGCCCTGACTATCAGGCCCTGTTTCATAAACTGTTTAAGCAAGTATGTTCAACAAAAAATCCAGGCTATCAAGTTAATGGTGCTTAGAGCTCAATATCAGCCCTTAAATGTAACTGAGGAAACAATGTTTTGATTCCTGGATGAAACCAGTGGAGAATGTAATGGGTCAACTGAATTTTGTGCTATAACTATGGAAAACTATTAGGTTCCCTTATGCTTCCTATTATCTACTCTAAGGAATGTGTTCTCACCCTCTGTTCAAGGTTGTTTAGTAATGAATAACTGTTTCCTTCTCCTCCCTAATCTAACTCCTGTAAACACAGTCAGCTTAAGATGTATCTCAGGGCCAGGGAGATAGCTCAGTAGAATAAGCACTTGCCTGGCAAGCACAGGGTCCTGAGTTCAATACCCTGTACAGCATTTAAAATTAAAAAAAAAAAAAGATGTATCTCATAAAAACAGCTTGCTCAACAAGACCCCACACAGGCAAGTTGCGCATATCACTGAACTGTGAACTACCTCTTAGTCATGTGAATTTCATTTTAAAAGCCCCTTGCTTCCCGGGCTAGGGGCTGTTAAAGCTTCTCCTGTGTGAGAACTGACTGATGGTCCTGAGCTCAGTTATAAGGGCTCTTATAAATTAAAAAAACAAAAATCATCGCTATTATATTTTTCTTACTGAAACTTATATAATGATTGATGCGCTTTCTTCTAATACTTGATTATTTTCTTTTGTAAGTTACACAAGTTGTATGCCTATTCCTATGAGTTGTCTCTATCTCCTGAACTTTTAAAGCTTTTCTTATGAATGGCTATGCACTAAGTATACTTTGTCTACTTACGGCACGTCTTCCCAACCATCTCTGCTGGCAGGTGTAGCATGCCTTCTGAAATTTCAAGACTGAGTTAATCATGTACGAGTTAATCTTAGTTTTTTGGGTTTGACACAGGTAAACGCAATCACAATAGATGGTGTGACCCCATTATTCAATGCGTGCTCACAAGGCAGCGCGAGCTGTACAGAGCTTCTACTGGAGTACGGTGCCAAAGCCCAGCTGGAGTCCTGCCTCCCGTCTCCCATACACGAGGCTGCTAGTAAAGGTAACAGCTACGGGAGTACATGAGAAGAACGTGTGTGAGGGGAGGCTCTCCTGAAAGGCCCTGCTTCATCTCTGTTGCACTGAATTTCACTTCCGGGGGAGCAGAGTTTGCAATGAGTGTGGCGTGGGCGGGCATGAGCGAAAAGAGCCTCACTGCTGCCTTGCGTTGGCAGGTCACCACGAATGTCTCGACACACTGATCTCCTGGGGCTCGGACGTCGACCAAGATATTCCTCACTTGGGAACACCTCTCTACGTCGCTTGTGTCTCCCAGCAATTCCATTGCATGCAGATGCTTCTTTATGCTGGTACTTTTCTTTCACTTACTTACTTATTTATTTTTAAGAGTAAAAGCAAAAACAACCACAGAAACAAAGCAACATCCAACAACACTAGTGGCACAGAAATTCAAAGCAAGAATAGAAAATTGACAATGGTTGTTATATTATGCATTGTTATCGTCACATTTGTTGCTCAGATTACCGGATATAGGTATGCAGAGTTGGTCAAACAATTGAGCATTAACCCTTCCTTCCAATAAACCTTAATATTTCTTGTCCTTTTTACTCTTTTTCATTAAGGAGAATGTGATAATAATTGATAAGACATTCAAAATGGTACACATTTAGAAGAGCAAGCTGAGAGGTATTCAACCATGGGCTTTTGTATTGCATATTGTTGTTCTTGATGTACTTGCTCAGATTACAGATATTAGCATATAGAGTTAGTCAAAGTAAATACTTTAAACATTAACTGCTAATTTCAAAACATTAATGGAAATTAGTAGTACAATCATCTCAACTGGTACTTTCTTTAAATTTTTTCTTTTCTGTCCATACACATGAGCAATTATTTCTCTAACAACTTCTTCTAAAATTGTATTTTACTGCTTTACAAATATCCTCTTTATAAATGCTCTCTTACAACTATATAGCTAATAAAAAGGACTTCATTATGGATAACACTTAAAGGTCATAGATGAATATATAATCTCAATATTTTGCATACACAGCATTGCAGATATTTGGGTATGTAAATGGAGTCTGAAGGCTGTCCTTTTGTGTGTGTGTGTGTGTGTGTGTGTGTGTGTGTTTTAGGGA